ATTTGACATGTAAATAGCAAGACTCAAGTTCTTGTAAGTCCTTGATAAATCCGGGACGTTCGTTATGTGTGTACTAACATACTAACATATTAACATACTAATGTACTAATCTTAATAACACTTCGGGATAGGTCAGTACTCCACAGTACACTACGACCCTAGAATCCTCGCCCCGGAGTTATGTTGGAAATTTCCAACACCGAATACAACACTGTTGTATTCTCATTAATTATTACTAACTCTACTAATTATTGTAGTAAGTAAAATTAACACCACGTAGAATTCTCATGTACTAATAATTTCATCTGTGCAGTAGGCTAGAATTCTCACGTCATCCGACGCCAGTATTGCGTCAGATTTCATTACAATAAACACATTATATCCAATGTATCTGAGAATTAAATTCGATTCTCTATAACCAAGGCATTCTGTGTGATAATTAATTACAGATAAATTGACCTCCAATTAAAAGTCGAATAGAGCGTTGGAGTCATAGCGATTATCTAGTAATAAAAGTTAACGTCATGAGTGAATGCCATGGGGAGACATTAATTCCTCTCCCTTATACGTTTACTATCACTAAATTGGCAAATAATAATATTTCCCTCTTCTAAATAATAAACCCGTCCAGTCTCCAATATTTCAAGCATAAATGCGAGAAATACTAATATTCATGACAATAATTTGTTTAATGAACGCGGGACGCGGCGTGGGTGAGGAGGAGCAAGCCAGTACACGTGGAGGGAAGCTCTGAGGCAGACCTACCCGTATCGTGCTCACGAGGAGACGCCATTGCCCAGCCATCAGGGTAGACGTTATCCATCCTCAGATGAAAGTCGCCACTGTGAGGCGTGAACAACCTTGCAGATAATATCTTCAACTGGTGCTGGTGTAACATAAGGAACCTTTTTAATCTGGTTCCTGACTACACGTGACCGGCCAGTGAAGCGCGCCATTATCCAGGATAGGCTGAAGCCAGAGCCTGGGGACGCGAATTTCGGCAATCTTAAAACTTATACAGTGCCCATATTAGCTAAGTATCTTCTCTTTATTTGATGCATCTGGTAAAGTGTAGTGTAGTAGCTGGGTGATTGACCGTGACGACGCATGATAACACCAAACCACAGGTGATTCCCTATTATCACCTGTAACTCTTAATTTCTTGAATATAGAGATTCAGTAGTTTAATTAGTTGCTACTGTAAATATTTGTCTTGCAGCACGTGAGAAGAATTCTCCCTGCCGCCTTCTCCCATGTTAATCCATCCCATTCGTCAACCAGCCGAGCCCAGGGGATCAGAGGAAGCGTCGTGGCTTACATAAAGGAATCGTCTTTAAGCTAAGATTCTTTGTATTCATTCATGAAATTTCTGAATTACTTACATGCAGAATTCCTCTGGATTAACATGTGTTTATTGTGACTATCATTATTATACTTATAATCTATGTTCCCATTCATGGTAATGACATTAGTTTCACTATAATTCATAGGATTAGCTTATTATAATTTGGATTAGTGAACGAACCACACTAGTTCCTGGACGTACTGACTTCCAGTAATAACCCCCCAATGTAGGTGTTTGCGGGTTTGATTCATTTAATTATACAGCCCATTAATTATTTCTATGATCATATTCTCTAGTATTTTATCCATAGTTACTGGTTCATCTAGGAATTATCTAATGATCAGAAATTCTCAGTTTCCCTCTTTATTATAAAAGCGGGTGGTCCTTCGTAATTTAATTTACTGCATTAATATTTAAATAATCAGACTCAAGCCCCAAATGTCCCACAGACGTGTTTCAGAACCTACTGTGTCATTTGTTGTAATTGTGATTATAGATCTGTTAGTTCTTGTTTCTTGTTGATTCCTCTGTGTTCACGCTTATGTTCGAGTTAGTTCATTATGCAGTCCGAGGGGCTGGTGTCTAGCTGTCATTGATAGTGTCACAGGAAGGATTTCGAGTAACGTCATTGACATTTCTTTTTGTTTTGTTGTAGTAGTTAGTACTTTATTGAATAAACTAAGTTGTTATGGTTAACACTGTCTTTTCGTTACACCCTCACACATTATTATTGTTATGCAAATGTTCTTCACACTCGACTAATAAAATTGAGACAAATTTTCTGAGTTTTGGATCAAATATACGGCACCACACAACAATAAATTATTGTTGTGAGAGCCCTTGACCTACTCGTTAGATTTGCTTCGGCGAATGGCGAAGGTCGGTGGCCTAAGTGGGGGGGATTTCAATTTTCATTGGGGTCTCGGCGTTTGCTCGCGCCTAGTCAATTGTTCATACACGGTCCCAAAGTGAGGAATGAGCTGTTTACCACACTGGTGTGTTAGCTAAGCAAGTCTTTCCTCAGGCGACCTAGTTGAATATCACGACAGGAATAAAGGTTAAAGAATAAAGAAAATTCTTAGAAATTTTCCGAGCTAAAATTCCTTATACCAATTGCAATTTATTCCAAAACTTCTCACAAGTAACTCAAACTCTCACAGTCTGTACCTACAAGGATACTGATGTCGGTGAGGTGATCAGACTTAATATTATCTGCCAATTTTATTCCTCTATTTCTCAGGAATTTGGCTGTTGTTCTCAGACTTTGTACTTGTAGGTCTGCTGGTATTTTGTCGACCACAATGGCTTGTACTTGACAGACATACCTGCCTAAACTTACTGATGGTTGTACCACCTGGTAGACTTGAAGTCCTGTATCTGTTAGAAACACTGAGATATTGTTGTCGTCTGGGCTACAGGCCTTAATTGTAGTTCATCTGCCAACTTTTTAATGACATGTTCTCTGGGACCCTTGGTCAAACAACCCACGGGTATGGACCTTGGCCATCTTATTCTGGATGGTAATTTCGGCAGTAGGCAAAGTCGTATTACCTTTGGACTTTGCCGATTGGACACTAATTGTTTGTTGCACCTTGCAGTACAGTACTGTGGTGGGAATGCTATCTTCCACCTTGGGGTTTGGAGACTTTGTTTTGATGTCTACGCACAATGCTGCATGGTGCTCACCCTTGTTACACCTATTACAGGTGTATAATTGGGTCTAACAATAGTCTATGTTGTGTGACTTGAGACACTTTGCACATCTCCCCAATTCCTGGAGTCGCCTAATACGAGTGTCTCTGGATAATTGGCACAACTGTATGTTGAATGTTTCTTTTCGCAGAACATACATGTTCCCCAGCCTACTACATGCTTGGATGTTACCAGTTTGGGTGAACTAGTAACAGTAGGCTTGGAGGATTCTGCTGCATTGTCAGATTTTCTGCAACTTGCTGTGAGAGTAACTGACTGATGTTTATTTTGGGTAGTTATTTTACCCTTTAAGTTACTCTTACTTTCTATTTCTGAAGGCTCGCATGAGGCTTTAACTTCCTCATTTGCTCATCGGTTGTTAATGATGGAACGCAAACCTTCAGTGATGTCCTGTACTGTCAGGATGGTGTTATGTTGATTTGTGTATAATTCATCTAGTATATTGCTGGGCAATTTTCGTTGAAGGACTACTTTGGTCATCCATTCACTAGTGGTTATATCAACCTTAAGACTGAATGTTCTTAGTAGTGACTCAAACTCCATGCTGAAGGATTGTAATGAGTCAGCAGTCTGATCAGGTTGAGGTAAGTCCAGCAATTGAAGTACTAGATGTATGACAGTTTTCTCATTGCCAGCAGTATCCCTAGGAAGCTGGACTGGGAAATTAGTGCTGTCGCTATTTTCATTTACATTTTCTACTACTGGTTCAGCTTCACCTTTAATTTCAGTTTGGAGGCATGTTAACTTAGTAGCCTCAGGTATTGGGTTTTCAGAATCCACAGAGACTGTGGATAAATTGTCTCAAAACTGTTTAAATCTACTTTATTTGATGTACTGGCTGCTTGCTCTGAATCAATTATCCTGTGTAAGTACTCCAACCTGGCTTGAGTTTCTTCTTCTTATAGTGCTAGGTCAGACAGGAATGATTCCACATCTTCAACTACTATGTCGTCGTCCTCGTGGACCTGATTTTGGTAAGATTTCCTGTTTACTTTCAATAAATGCAATTGAATTTGAATCTGTAATAGTGGCATTTTCAACCGACGATAATTATGTACAGGCTCATATAACAACTGTTCACATTGGTCGAGATCTCTTGTCAGTTGACGTTTACGTGCTGTTAAAGCACGTTTTGCTTGGATAGTACTGGTTCATAAATTGTGAGCAAGTACTGACGGTAGCCTAGGGTAAAATTCTACAATCACTAGGCTATAATCCTACCTCTTCTAGAGGTTAGCTCTTAAAATTAATACACATTATATATATATAATCCTACACACTAAGGATTTGAGTGATATACCAGTGTCACTGGAAGTACCTTTAGGTTAGCTCCTCAGTTATCACCCTAGGATGGTATAGACACTAATTAATACTCAAAAGGTGCAATGATTATAAGTAAATTATTATATATACACAACTCAACTCAAGTTGATAACAATTACACCCAAAATAGGGCATGTACCATTCATTAATGGTGCTAGGTTGTTCAATACAGTACAACTAGACTATGGTAACAATGGGACTAGTATGAACAATAAATAGTTCAACTAGTCAATGGTAATAGGGGACTAAGTTATCAATAAACACTAGTCAATGTATATCCTACCCTGTTGTGGGTTGGCAATTGGTAAATATTGTATTTGTAAAACTAGTGCAATATATATTAAATAATTCTTTATGTAAGAGAAATAATATTCACAATTATTGATGATAGCCTCTTAAATAGCCTCTAGTGTTATCTAGAAATATTAAATATTAGTAGTGTCTGAGAATAATGTTCCTTCCTCTATGATAAACCTCGACTGGTCGAAAGCCTTTGACCGTGTTGATGTTCAGTTTGTATTAGAAATATTGGATAGGGTAGGAGTTGCACAAGAATTTATTGTTTGGATCCGTATGCTTTAGAAACAGCGTCGGAGCAGCGTTTGTATCAATGGAGTCTTCAGTAAACCTTTTTCAGTTGAACGATCGGTACATCGGGGATGTCCTCTTTCAATGATTTTGTATGTAGCAAGTGTAGCAACACTATGTGGTGCACTAGACAGTGCAGCACCAGAATGTGGTGTACTAGCAAGGGCATCACAAGCATGTGGTGCACCAGCAAGTGGTGCACCAGCAAGTGCAGCACCAGCATTTGGTGCAAAAGCAAGTGCAGCATCAGCATGTGGTTCACCAGCATGTGGTGCACGAGCAAGTGCAACATCAGCATGTGGTGCACAAGCAAGTGCAACATCAGCATGTGGTGCACCAGCAAGTGCAGTACCAGCATGTGATGCACTAGCAAGTGCAGCATTAGCATGTGGTACTCCAGCAAGTGCAGCACCAGCATGTGGTGCACCAGCAATTGCAACACCAGCATGTGGTGCCCAGCAAGTGAAGCACCAGAATGTGGTGCACGAGCAAGTGCAGCACCAGCATGTGATGCACTAGCAAGTGCAGCACCAATATGTGGTGCACTAGCAAGTGGTGCACTTGCAAGTGCAGCATCAGCATGTGGTACACTAGCAAGTGGTGCACTAGCAAGTGAATCACCAGCATGTGGTACACTAGCAAGTGGTGCACTAGCAAGTGAATCACCAGCATGTGGTGCACTAGCAAGTGCAGCACCAGCATGTGGTGCACTAGCAAGTGCAGCACCAGCATGTGGTTCAATAGCAAGTGCAGCACCAGCATGTGGTGCACTAGCAAGTGGTGCACTTGCAAGTGCAGCACCAGCATGCGGTGCACCAGCAAGTGCAGCACCAGCACGTGGTGCAAGAGCAAGTGCAGCACCAATATGTGGTGCACTAGCAAGTGGTGCACTTGCAAGTACGGCACCAGCATGTGGTGCACCAGCAAGTGCAGCACCAGCATGTGGTGCACCAGCAAGTGCACCACCAGCATGTGGTGCACCAGCAAGTGCACCACCAGCAAGTGCACCACCAGCATGTGGTGCACCAGTAAGTGCAGCACCAGCATGTGGTAAACTCACTAGTGCAGTACCAGCATGTGGTGCACCAGCAAGTACAGTACAAGCATGAGGTGCACTAACAAATGCAGTTCCAGCATGTGGTGCACTGACAAGCTGGACACGGGGGATGGATACGGAGGCTGGACACGGAGGACTGGACACGGGGGCTGGACACGGAGGACTGGACACGGAGGAATGGACACGGAGGACTGGACACGGGGGCAGGACACGGAGGACTTGACACGGAGGACTGGACACGGAGGAATGGACACGGAGGACTGGACACGGGGGCTGGACACGGAGGACTGGACATGGGGGCAGGACACGGAGGACTGGACACGGGGGCTGGACACTGAGAACTGGACACGGAGCACTGTACACGGCGGCTGGACCTGGGGGCTGGACACGGGGGCTTGACACTGAGGCTGGACACAGGGGCTGGACACATGGGGTGGACACTGGGGCTGGACACTGGGGCTAGACACTGGGGCTGAACCTAGAGGCTGGACACGGAGGCTGGACATTGGGGCTGGACACAGGGGCTGGACACTGGGGCTGGACACTGGGGCTAGACACTGGAGCTGGACACGGAGACTGAACATTGGGGCTGGACATTGGGGCTGGACACAGGGGCTAGACACTGTGGCTGGACACTGGGCTGGACACGGAGGTTTGACATTGGGACTGGACACAGGGGCTGGACACTGGGGTTGGACACGAGGGCTAGACACTGGGGCTGGACACGGAGGCTGGACATTGGGGCTGAACACAGGGGCTGGACACTGGGACTGAACACTGGGGCTGGACACGGAGACTGGACACGTGGGCTGGACACGGGGGCTGGACAAGGTGGAGAGACACGGAGGCTGAACACGGGGGCTAGACACGGGGCTGAACACGAGGGTTGGACACACAGGACTGGACACGGGGGACTGGAAACGGGGGCTGGACACGGAGGCGGGACACGTAGGACTGGACACCGAGGCTGGACACGGAGGACTGGACACAGAGGCTGGACACGGAGGACTGGACACGGGGGCTGGACACGGAGGCTGAACACGGAGGGCTAGACACGAAGGCTGGACACGGAGCACTGTACACGGCGGCTGGACCTGGGGGCTGGACACGGGGGCTTGACACTGAGGCTGGACACAGGGGCTGGACACGGGGGTGGACACTGGGGCTGGACACGGGGGCTAGACACTGGGGGCTGAACCTAGGGGCTGGACACGGAGGCTGGACACGGAGGCTGGACATTGGGGCTGGACACAGGGGCTGGACACTGGGGCTGGACACTGGGGCTAGACACTGGAGCTGGACACGAAGGCTGAACATTGGGGCTGGACATTGGGGCTGGACACAGGGGCTGGACACTGGGCCGGACACGGAGGTTTGACATTGGGGCTGGACACAGGGGCTGGACACTGGGGCTGGACACGAGGGCTAGACACTGGAGCTGGACACGGAGGCTGGACATTGGGGCTAGACACAGGGGCTGGACACTGGGGCTGGACACGGAGGCTGGACATTGGGGCTGGACACAGGGGCTGGACACTGGGACTGGACACTGGGGCTGGACACGGAGGCTGGACACGTGGGCTGGACACAGGGGCTGGACAAGGGGAAGAGACACGGAGGCTGGGCACGGGGGCTAGACACGGGGCTGAACACGGGGGTTGGACACACAGGACTGGACACGGGGGACTGGAAACGAAGGCTGGACACTGGGGCTGGACACGGAGGTTGGACACGGAGGACTGGACACGGAGGCTGAACATGGAGCCTGGACACGCGGGCTGGACACATTGGTTGAACATTGGGGCTGGACACTGGGGCTGGACACGGGGGCTGGACACTGGGGCTGGACACGGGGGCTGGACACTGGGGCTGGACACGGAGACTGGACACGTGGGCTGGACACGGGGGCTGGACAAGGTGGAGAGACACGGAGGCTGGACACGGGGGCTAGACACGGGGCTGAACACGGGGGTTGGACACACAGGACTGGACACGGGGGACTGGAAACGGGGGCTGGACACGGAGGCGGGACACGTAGGACTGGACACCGAGGCTGGACACGGAGGACTGGACACAGAGGCTAGACACGGAGGACTGGACACGGGGGCTGGACACGGAGGCTGAACACGGAGGGCTAGACACGAAGGCTGGACACGGAGCACTGTACACGGCGGCTGGACCTGGGGGCTGGACACGGGGGCTTGACGCTGAGGCTGGACACAGGGGCTGGACACGGGGGGTGGACACTGGGGCTGGACACTGGGGCTAGACACTGGGGGCTGAACCTAGGGGCTGGACACGGAGGCTGGACACGGAGGCTGGACACGGAGGCTGGACATTGGGGCTGGACACAGGGGCTGGACATTGGGGCTGGACACTGGGGCTAGACACTGGAGCTGGACACGGAGGCTGAACATTGGGGCTGGACATTGGGGCTGGACACAGGGGCTGGACACTGGGGCTGGACACTGGGCTGGACACGGAGGTTTGACATTGGGGCTGGACACAGGGGCTGGACACTGGGGCTGGACACGGAGGTTGGACACGGAGGACTGGACACGGAGGCTGAACATGGAGCCTGGACACGCGGGCTGGACACATTGGTTGAACATTGGGGCTGGACACTGGGGCTGGACACGGGGGCTGGACACGGGGGCTGGACACTGGGGCTGGACACGGGGGCTGGACACGGAGACTGGACACGTGGGCTGGACACGGGGGCTGGACAAGGTGGAGAGACACGGAGGCTGGACACGGGGGCTAGACACGGGGCTGAACACGGGGGTTGGACACACAGGACTGGACACGGGGGACTGGAAACGGGGGCTGGACACGGAGGCGGGACACGTAGGACTGGACACCGAGGCTGGACACGGAGGACTGGACACAGAGGCTAGACACGGAGGACTGGACACGGGGGCTGGACACGGAGGCTGAACACGGAGGGCTAGACACGAAGGCTGGACACGGAGCACTGTACACGGCGGCTGGACCTGGGGGCTGGACACGGGGGCTTGACGCTGAGGCTGGACACAGGGGCTGGACACGGGGGGTGGACACTGGGGCTGGACACTGGGGGCTGAACCTAGGGGCTGGACACGGAGGCTGGACACGGAGGCTGGACACGGAGGCTGGACATTGGGGCTGGACACAGGGGCTGGACATTGGGGCTGGACACTGGGGCTAGACACTGGAGCTGGACACGGAGGCTGAACATTGGGGCTGGACATTGGGGCTGGACACAGGGGCTGGACACTGGGGCTGGACACTGGGCTGGACACGGAGGTTTGACATTGGGGCTGGACACAGGGGCTGGACACTGGGGCTGGACACGAGGGCTAGACACTGGAGCTGGACACGGAGGCTGGACATTGGGGCTAGACACAGGGGCTGGACACTGGGGCTGGACACGGAGGCTGGACATTGGGGCTGACACAGGGGCTGGACACTGGGACTGGACACTGGGGCTGGACACGGAGGCTGGACACGTGGGCTGGACACGGGGGCTGGACAAAGGGAAGAGACACGGAGGCTGGACACGGGGGCTGGACACGGGGCTGAACACGGAGGCTGGACACACAGGACTGGACACGGGGGACTGGAAACGAAGGCTGGACACTGGGGCAGGACACGGAGGTTGGACACGGAGGATTGGACACGGAGGCTGAACATGGAGCCTGGACACGCGGGCTGGACACATTGGTTGAACATTGGGGCTGGACACTGGGGCTGGACACGGGGGCTGGACACTGGGGCTGGACACGGGGGCTGGACACTGGGGCTGGACACGGACGTTGGACACGGAGGACTGGACACGGAGGCTGAACATGGAGCCTGGACACGCGGGCTGGACATATTGGTTGAACATTGGGGCTGGACACTTTGGCTGGACACGGGGGCTGGACACTGGGGCTCGACACGGAGGCTGGACACGGGGGCTGGACACGGAGGCTGCACATTGGGGCTGGACACGGAGGCTGGACACGGTGGCTGGACACGGAGGACTGGACACAGGGGCTGGACATTGTGGCTGGACACTGGGGCTGGACATTGTGGCTGGACACTGGGGCTGGACACGGGGGCTGCACACGGAGGCTGGACACGGTGGCTGGACACGGAGGACTGGACACAGGGGCTGGACACTGGGGCTCGACACGGAGGCTGGGCACGGTGGCTGGACAAGGAGGACTGAACACGGAGGCTGGACATATAGTGGCTTGACACTGGGGCTGGACACGGAGGCTGGACACGGAGGCTGGACACGGAGGCTAGACAAGGGGCTGGACACGGAGGCTAGACACGGGGCTGGACACGGAGGCTGGACATATAGTGGCTTGACACTGGGGCTGGACACTGGGGCTGGACACGGAGGATGGACACGGGGGCTGGACACGGAGGCTAGACACTGGGACTGGACACTGGGGCTGGACACTTGGACTGGACACTCGGGCTAGACACGGGGGCTGGACACTGGGGCTGGACACTGGGACTGGACACGGAGGCTGGACACGGAGGCTGGACACTGGGACTGGACACGGGGGCTGGACACTGGGACTGGACACGGAGGCTGGACATATAGTGGCTTGACACTGGGGCTGGACACGGAGGCTGGACACGGAGGCTGGACACGGAGGCTAGACAAGGGGCTGGACACGGAGGCTAGACACGGGGCTGGACACGGAGGTTGGACACGGAGGCTGGTCACGGAGGCTGGACACTGGGGCTGGACACGGGAGCTGGGCACGGAGGTTGGGCACTGGGGCTGGACACGGAGGCTGGACCCGTGGGCTGGACACGGAGGCTGGACACTTGAGCTGGACACTAAGGCTGGACATTGGGGCGGGACACTGGGCTGGATACTGGGGCTGCACACGGAGGCTGGACACGGTGGCTGGACACGGAGGACTGGACACGGGGGCTGGACACTGTGGCTGGACACGGGAGCTGGACACTGGGGCTGGACACGGAGGCTGGGCACGGTGGCTGAACA